TTCAACTTCGTGTTCCAAGTACTAAGGCTGACGAGAACTAGGGGCCACTGCCTGGTGGGAAGAGCTCAGACCAGACGTTTATGATGTATTAAGAAAAGGCTGTCCGCCTGTTCATGATCCACGGCTCCAGCTTCATTTGGGACCGAGAAGCGAAGGAATGCTACCTTCAATAACGGCTCGAACAACGCGAAATGGCGTGAAACAGCTTCTGCTCGGCCTGTATCAATGTGGCATGAGCCATGCGGAGTATGGCTCACAAACCGTATCTGACCACATCAGCGGTATGACAATCCAAAAAAAAAACGGATCTGACCTCATCAGCGGTATGGCAGTCCAAAATTCCAACGTCACGTGATGACTCTTCAACGGGCATTACTGAAACTACTTTATTTGCTGTATTTGCATGCGGAATTACAAGCGAACTGCATGGTCGCAGCGGGATTCATCGTGTTCTGAAGTTTGCACTGACATGATACCATGATATCATACTGACATGATACATGGTACCACACTGTGTGTCAAAATGTGCACTGCGAATGGGAACTTATGCAATCGTTTTGTTGGTGCCAGGCAGCATTAGTGCCTCAGTAGGAATAAATCACCGTACCTGTCCGCAAGTTAATGTTTTTTTCCTGTAGGTAGGTAAAAGGCTTTATCGTTAACTAAGAAAATTCCGACCGCTTCACGTGATTTGGAACAAGCTCGTATAAGAGCCAGAATGCCGAAATTGATATCATTCAGTGTGATTAGTGAAGACTGTGGCAATGTGGACAGGCATACACCATCCCCCCTCTCCCCCCTCTCCCCATAGGCAAAAGGCGTACCGCACATATTGCACGATTTCGCGGCGATTCGTTCCAAATTTGCATGAGGGCGAAAAAAATTCGATACTGGCCCCTTCGCCCTTGAGTAAAGTTCTGAAACCGTGCCTGCACGTGGGTGCCTTGGAACTTCTCAAAGCAATGTTGTATTACAATATATGCGTGATGTCTTGATTTGGAAGATTATTTTCCGTTTGCTAGAGTATGGACTATGTGTGTCAATGCCATCAGAAAAGTTGCCCTAGAGAGGCTTTCAACATGACAGCCACTGAGCCTCTTGCCGTGCGTGGCGGATGTGGGAGGGCAAAGGGCAGGTAATCCCCCCGCCCCCCTGAACTCTGGGCAGCATTTATCAACTCCATGGCAGTGCATGGCGAGAAACTAGGCAACATTCTTGCTTCCTCATCTCCACGCAGGTTCCATTTCTTCTGCCTCGTGCTATAAGACAGTCCTTCAGCTACAAAGTAAAATTTGCGATACCGTGCTGAGCCGGTAGTTTAAAGAAAAACAAACGAAATAATAGCATCTCAATGAAGTGAACCGTTCTTCTCAATTCATGCACACAAGGCCAATTTCAAAGATTGTGGCTGTCGGAAAGAATATGGCCGTAGGATGCGGTAGTTTCTAGATCCACAATCCGGAAATGTCAGCACCGTTCAAAAGTCATGCTTTCGGTACCAACTCTGCGCCCATTTTTAGTCACGTCACATTGGCGGCTGGTCTCTGCGGCGTCTCTTTTGAGTCCCGCTGAATCCCCGCCTTCTTCCTTCACGTTGTCTATGTAGGAGAAACCAAAGGGGTGCGTGCATGCATTCGCACGCACCCCTTTGCAACCCAGCCCCTTTGCAATACATGCAACCAATGCATTTGCGGGTATGGATATTCTACAAGCGACACCCGGGGTCAATGGGGTAAGGGCAGGGTCACGGGGGGTCAGGGTCACGCTCCGATCACGATGCAATGCGTAGTTAGCGTTAGGTCGAGGTCAGCTTAATGCACGGTTAACTAGGTACAACGTTTTAGTGCATGTCCTTAACAGACATCGCTTTTCTTCGCAAAATGTGTTTAATTGTCGTATTTGGCCTAGCTTGACCGTTGATGGTCTAATCATAATTTTGCATCAAATGCGTGACAGGAGCATCCAGCGAGACAGTTGTAGGAAATGGTATGTTCAAAATATTTTTGAAGTCCCCATCTAATTATGCATTAGGACCTGGAGTGGATTGACACAAAAGGGCGGGTGGCATTATTTCCACAAAATTGCAATAAATCACGAAACAACCAAGATACTGACATCAACAGATCAGGAATCACGGCATGCACGAAACTAAGTCGCCTAAGTTACAGGAGTTCGCTGCGGCCCTCCAACAAATGCTCATGACTTTATTACAAAATAACCTAAAAGGGATTATCTAAGGCCTTTTCGTGGGACGAAGGCTCAAAATACAGCTGAGAATTTGCAGTATTTTGGAATTCGAGTCGTAGAGTTGGTGCATTTAGAATCGTCTTCATGTTTAATATTTAAACAGACTAGAAAATAGTTTGAGTTTTTGCATGGGAGAAATCTCAAACTCGTGCATTGAAATCAGAGACGCGGGTAACAGCCTGTCACAGCATCGACATTCGTGTCGCATTTCCATCTGCAAGAAACTTGAGTTCAGGTGATGGCTAATATATTTGACTGCATGTTGTATGCTCGCTTGCTTTCTGTATGCACCTTCAGAACAAATTACGTGATTGACATAGATGCAACATGCTGAAATAAACTTTTCAGCCTGCGTTTAGTACGTAACTGGACTTTCGGAAGCTAAACCTCTTAGACATTCCGTGTCATACAATAAGCGCCAGGCTTTGGGCATATGTCGTTAGAGCAAACCGTGCCACCAATTCTGATGAAACGTATTCTAATCGGCTTTGTGTCATGGCTAGCCAAATGCCGAGGTTTAATGTCTTACCACATGCCGAAATGGTCGCGTAGCCTCTTAAAACACCGCGTTTGAGCAAGTTTAGGCCATCAGAGCCACCCAACGGACCAGTTATAATCAGACACACTTTATCCGAATGTACGGAGCACTGTCAGCCAAATACGCATGCTTACAGTGTCGAAATACCTGCAATAAACTCGTGGTCCTCACTAACCTTTTTCCTCTCCGGCATTTTGACACTAATCCTTTCCGGGAGGCCAAATCGGTTCCCCTTGATATCGAAAAAAGTTCGTCAAAGAGGCTTGGATAATTGGCTCAAACGTTTCTTCGCGATGTCAACTACCGTACATGCACAAAAAATCGCAATTTTGCCGCAGCGTATTCGGGAGACCTATAAATGACTAAGACAAATTAAAGGTGCATTGGTACTTGTGCAGTGCAGTATGCAGTGCCCTGTAGTGTGTATTATCTGTGTTTTACAGCAATAGCCGTGCAATAGCTGACAGGTCTAAGCTGGTACACATCGGTTGAAATGTCTTGTGAAGATCATGAGGCAACAACAGCATGCAAAACTTCGCGATAGCATTCCAGGAACACCGTTTTGTGAAATATCGATGTCAAGATCATTGTAATGCCACTCATATCAACAAGCTACTAGGCATCACTACTGAATTAGCACGGAAAATATAATTAAGTTAACATGCACAGCAACATCCTATTGTAGTTGCGGTGACATCATTTGGTGACGTAGATATAACGCCGTTTTGTGGGGTCGTAGCGATGTCGTGGCGACGTCCCATACAAGTCATATTGGGCATCATACGGACGTTGAGGCAATGTCGGACGTCCAGGAACGTTGTGGTGACGTTGTCTGCGTGTCGTGGAGACGCTGTAACGACATGCGTGTACGTCAGCATGCATGACGTTTAAATGACGTCACGCAGAGGTCGTGGTGACATTAACACAATACTACTGTGGCGTTGAGGTGGTGTTCCAGTGACGTCCCTGCGACGTCGTCAAAGAGTGAATACGATGTCCTTTTGACCACGTGGTGACGTAAGAACTTGTCCTCGTCTGACATCGATGTCAGTCAACAGTCGACATGATATATATATATATATATATATATATATATATATATATATATATATGTGTGTGTGTGTGTGTGTGTGTGTGTGTATACACACGTCATTTGAGCCGTAACGCATGCAATAACCGTGCATGTGTAACTTTCCAGAGGTAGATCCAATCACGATCTTGGGTAGACCCGAAAATGTCTCTTCGCTGAATCCGTACATCGCGCTTAAACGTTTTCACGAAGGAGCTGAGATTTTTTTGCATTGACATTAACTAAGTTTCTAGCTTTATGACCGTTTCTGAAGCAATTCGGATGGATTTTCTTATGAGATACGCAAACACTCTCCCCAAAAAAACAGCCCCGAAAATGCCTGTGGTGCATGTAAAAGCGTAGAAAACAGCAGCGGATGTATAATAGATGGCTGTGAAAAGCCGCCAAGGTCCAAGATCCTACCTCAATTAGCACGTAAATGTTATGTGAAAAACCTCGGAGAGGTGGTCCGAATCAACCCCGCCGGACTAGTGTAAGAGTGCGATGTTAGGCTGCGGCCATGCTCAGCTAGATCAAGCCACGGGCCGATCTGGATGCAACAAATTTGATATGATCCCCTGTGTCACTTACAGATAGGCACTTTTTTACAAACTACTTCAATGGAACCTCAAACCTCCTTAGTAGAACCGTACAACTACAACCTTATGCACTTGCGCACCGTTTCAACACCACCTTAGATTTAATGGATGTTTTCAGGTATCTCACGCATCATAAGGGTGAAACTTGTTGGGTTAAATGGTTCGTTTAAGTGTGTGTACTCCCAAAATCTGGAATCCTGGTAAATATAATTCGAGGAGTCCAATAAAATATGTTGTAAGCTGTTTTGATCTTGCGGTGTATTGAAACAGCCTGCAAAACAAGTGCTTTCGTGTTTGGTTTACCGTTTATTTTCGCTTTGAATGAGCTGAAAATGATCATTCACATTCAAAAATGCCAGTTCCTGATTGGTGAATGTTGAGAAGGCATCGGCTTCCTTGCTTGATCCTATAATCTCAGTTTCCTATTTTAATCCGTATTTTATGACACTAGCTTAAGCCAAACGCCGTCGTTTGTCAGAACTGCGCAGCATTTGCAAGAAAACGCGCTTGCCTGCGAACGCGTAGTACGCGATACCGCATGCGCGTGCGGAACGTGCAGGGCGCGTATTGCGGTGTTTGTACGGGAACGGCGGTGGGCGGGGCTGGTGTTGTACGTGAGGCAATAGGTACAGGTTGGTAAGAACGTTCGTGAATTTTGAGACCATTGTTTCATGACTGTATGTGGCATATGGGTAGATGAAGGTGGTGGGCATTGCATCTTTGGCATCATTTTCTCAGCTTCTGCAGTGTCACGTGATTTCCTAGTTTCTTTTCGCTGTTGCTGTGCATTAAGCTGTGTCTTTTTGGAATGGCTATGATCCATGCTTCTAGGCAAGTCTTGCCCCAATGTTGCTAGACAGTTAACATTTCAATGGGACTGTTTTCACTGATAACAGAAGGCTTAGGTGTCTTCATTCAAATGACAAATGCTATAAAGTTGTTTGTTTATTGGGATTTCAGTGATGTGCACATAGAAAGTCATGAATTTTGCAGAAATAATGTGCTGAAATTATTGTATTAATTATGTAGTGGAACACCCCATTATCATGTCATTCATGTGATAATGATTTCAATGTTTTTATTATTGTTGTCTCTGAAGTGCCATGCTGGGCAACATTTTCCCAATTTTTACCTTGAATGGCCTTGTCAGAGTTTGCTACACTGTTGGGCACCAGGAATGTAGTGTAACATGTCTGCACAGCCTGTTGCTCTTACCCCATATGCTGTTAAACTTTCTGTAGTACTGGAAGAATTGTCAATGCTCTGCAGTAATTATGATACAAAGCTTGAAACAATGCAAATTCTGCACAATGAAACATGATAAAAATGTAGGAAACTGGCGCCCCTCTTGAATTAATAACTGTAATGTGTTTGTTTATATTATTGGTGCCATTGTGATAGAGATAAAATATGAGTTTTGCATATGTGATGTTAATATGCATGAAAACTTAATGGCTTGAAATGCTTTGGCTAGACTGCATAGATTACCAGATTTGCAGAACACTTCAGCAGCAGCAACATCGCAGCATCAATTTCAGCACATGTGCACTGTAAATCAGAGTGCCCTGAGTGTGGTGTGTAGTTATCACCAGTCTCAGCATATAGGGAACTATTTTTTCAAAGAATTGTGATGTTGCAAGTGTAATCTCAGGCAAATGTACTTCAAGCATCTTTTGTGATGTAATTTTTCATGTAAATTCAGCACTGTTTTGACTGACCTCAGTTTTGCGTGTATGAGTGCGAGGCTCAGCACTCCTTTGTGATGTTGGTGCCAATGCTGGCTTGCTGCAATAATGTATTTGCATTTCCTTTATGCAGAATGTTATTGCAAATTTAGTTTATTTTATTTCCAGGTCTTTCACCAAGTATTTGATGGTTGTTAACAATCTATATGGCTACTTTCTGAAATTATGAAACCAGTTACATTGATTTATCTTCTATCTTCCTCTGTGATTTGTTTGAATCATGGATGTCTAAAGATGTCACTTGCCATGCAATATGCTTTAATTAAATATTATAATTACTTGTTGATTTTCTGATGGAGTTCAAAGAGACATGGAAGTGTTACACCTGCTGGCAGTACAGATAAGGTATGAGTACATATAACTGAGTGTGCAGTGACCTTTAAATATGAAACCAAATAACCTCACACAATTTGCAGGGCTAATTTTTGCCTTCACAAACCAAGTAACACTTTGTTTTTATCAATCATCTAGCAACGACACCCCATTCTAACTTGCCACCAGTGTTGATATCCTGATGTCATTTTGTCCTGTTGTGCTCTCATGTTTCAGGCTTCAGTGAATGCTGCTATCCCCTGGTGTACATTTACCACTTTTATCTGGTTTTCAGGACGTACAATCCTTTCTTTTCCCAGAGGCTGTGAACATGCACTAGCTGCCACCAGCGTGACCTGTGGTGCCGTGACCTGACCTGAGCCACCACCATGGAGACAGAAGATGAGGATAGTGTCAAGATGCTGATGGACATGGGGTTCCCGGACGAGGACGAGGTGCGCGCGGCCCTTCGCATGGCCAAGAACGACATCTCGGAGGCTGTGGTGTTCCTTACCGATGAGAACTTCAAGAGCAACATGTACCGGCCGACGTCGCAGGCGCTGGCCGTACCCAGCCCGTCCAACTTGTCGAATTCGACAAGGCGGACGACAACCAGATGTCGACGTGTGAGGTGGGTGTTTTGCGGGGATGAATTGAGCTGGTGCAGTTGTGGTGCTTGCCCCATGCGGCCTTTCTTCGCAATCATTGGCAGGTGGCAGGATTATCAAGGGCAGAATTATCTCTCGCCTGATTGTGTCAGGCATGATTGGACGAACTTACCGAAATGGATAGCACAGGGCCACACTGCCATTTATTCTTGCCATTACCACCAGCCAGTGCAGCTTTCTCTAATCCCCGGTACCTCTGATTGGCTTTGGCGTTGTGCGCCGTGATTTACGAATGGATCTGCCGACATTGTGCGCCAGTGTTCTCCGTCGGTGCGCTCCTAGAATCAAGAGTGTTGGGTTTCGGTGATGCCGCACGGCCCGGCATGCTGCCGCTGTCCCCTGCATCCGGCCGTTGGTCGCGCCGGCCGGGGTCTGACCCGCCCGGGGTCCGTCGGCAGGAGGAGACGTCGCTCGTGTTCCCGTTCGACGAGCTGCTGCAGCTGGAGCGGCGCGTCGGCAAGGACCAGTGGTCGATCCCCTACAAGCGCGAGGAGTCGCTCGGGAAGTGCCTGCTGGCGGCCTGCGCGCCTGGCCAAGGAAGGTGAGCGGCCGAGCTTGAGGACGGTATCGCCTGGTGGGGTGCATGTTGCGGGCGGTGCGCGTGGAGGATCCGTCCGGTGTGTGGGAGCGGGATTCGTCCGTTGTAGGGGATGAATGGCCGTTTAGTGCGGGGAGGGGGGATCAGCTCCATGTACAGGACTTATCTGGTGTGCGAACGAAAGCCTTTCGATATATTGGGATGGGTATCCACCTTTTTGGGAATGTAATGGTGCACAGAAGTGGATCTATCTCGTTTGGATTGACGGCATCCGTCCGGAATGGAGTAGGATCCGCCTGGTGGGACACGGGACCCGTCCGGTTTGGGATATGGGATCCGCCGTGTCAGAGGAGGGGTCCGTCGTGTCTGGGATGGGACTCATCTGTCGTGGGGGATAACATCCCTCGGGTAAGGCGACGAGATTGATCCGGTGCGAGGCGGGATCTATCCCTTATTGAGGGGGATCCCGTGCACTCCATCCCTACGTCTCGGACAAGATTGGATCCGCGCGGTGTGGGGGACGGATCCATCAGGAGTGCGGGAGTGTGTGTGTGTAGGGAGGGGGGGGGGGGGGCGGTCCGGTGAGCGAACATGGTCCGTCGGCAGGCAGGCTGGCACAGTTGTTGTGCCGTTCGCTTGTCTTATGTTCGTGGAGACGAGACGGCTGCGTGCAAGCGGTAGCCGTGACTTAAATCACACTCCCGCTCGCTGGGTTTGACGGACCAGCTAAGATCGCCGCGCCGATGCGTGCATCCCTGCTCATCAGACCGTCCGCGGCGTGTCGTTTGTAATGAACCACGCGCAGGACTTCGGAGCGTCTGTGGATGATCTGCCCGCCTCTGTTACCCGCGTCGCTACCATGGTCATGAGTGTCGCTATAAGCCTCGCCGGCGATAGCGGGAGGCTTCCGGCCGGAGGAGCGTAAGCGCGGGCGGGTGGGTGCGGCGCGCTTTGTCACCGTGACGTCGACCGGATGTTTGTCGCAGTTTGGTGGGCAGCTCCACATGAACCTGGACGCGTGACAGCGATGGAAGCTGAAAGGCAGTTTGGTGGGGCAGCTCTTCGTGAATTCTGGACACGTGATAGCGATGGGAGCTGAAAGATGCATGTTATGTATGTTTAAAATACGCTTTAGTGGCTCTGGTTTCTGAGTAAATTTCCACCATGTCTGCATTTGAGAGGATAAGTCCAGCTATTTGCGTTGGTATCAAACTCAATTAACCAATGCATTTCAGAAGACGTTACATTCTCGATCGTCTGTGTTCAGGCTGTTCATCTTCAGTCGTTTGACCTCAGCCTGGTGCTCCAGTTCGGCCCGTATCAGACGCCTGTTTGACTGTCTATTGTCGCCGTGTACCGACCGCGTGCCAGGCCTGCAGCGCGCGGTCCCTCAGCTTGAGCGCACAGGTGCCGGACGAGAGCCGTGGTGTCTTCCCTGGCCGGGCTGGTCCAGGTCCGCCGGAGCTGGCGCCGCCTGGCGCAGCGTCGGCCGCGCGTCAGCCGCTCTGTCCTCGCTGCCCGCAGGCCTGTCGGAGGCGGACGACAACTGCCGCCGCTTCACCAGCCGCGTCATGATGGAGTCGTTCAACAAGCTGCTCACCAACAGCGCCGTCTACTCGTGGAGCCTCGAGATCCACCAGGGCATCGGCACCATGCTCGAGCTGTTCGTGGGACTGCTGATCGCCCGCCTGCCGCACGCGCCCGTCCCCTGCGACTGGCTCAGTCTCATCCTCGCCCAGGTAACGTCGCTACAGAGTACACGACACTGCCGGTGCCGTTCGGCGCGCCGTGTGCTGACTGGTGGGGGTGGGCGCGGGGAAGGGGGGGGGGGTGGCTGCGCGGTCAGCCCCCCCCCCCCCTCCGCTTGCCCCGCTTCGACGGTCCGCAGTCGACCCCACCCGCCGCTCTCGACACGAGCGGCCGGGCTCGGCTCGTGCTGCCGCCGTGCTCCTTGCGCGTCGTCGCGACGTGCGAGGGACCGCCGGCGGCGGCGGTGCTCGCGGCCGCCGGCGCCGCCCGACACCGCCGTCGGGTGGGCCCCCTCCTCCCCTCGGATTAGGACTCGGCGTGCCCGCCGTGTCGTCCCGACTCGGCCATAGCTCGTGAGTCATTGGCAGAGCCTCGCGCCGCCGGCCTGATAATGAAGGTGCCTCGCCGGTGCACGGGTAACAGCCGGATCCGGTGTCAAGCGTGGGCGCCCTTTGTCCCTGCACCGGTCGGTCGACCTCTGCAGCGTTTGCCAGGTTTGCAAGCACTACTAATCGGCAGTGCTGTTAAAGGTGGGATTCGATAATCATGTGTGGCATTGGCTCAAAGCGTCGACAGATCGTGGACTGATACGCAACACCCGAGCTTACGTCAACTGCGATTTTGATATGCGGCTTTGCGTGGTAGGTGACTCACGGGGTATCGCGAGCCCAAGGGCGGCCAAAGGTAAGTCGGATTCGGTTTCGATGCGGTCTCAACCGATCCAGACCGCGCATCGGTGGTTCGGGTTGACCGAGGGTCGGTTGCGTTTGCAGGCGTTCGACCCGGAGACGGCGTGGAATCAGAAGAACAAGTCCAAAAATCCGTCCATCCGATCCGGCACGGACGCGGAGAAGGACTTTGCCTCGTCCATCCACGTGAAGGTGAGCACTGTCGAATACCTCCGGAAAGATGCACATCCGCATCTGACGTCTTCTTTTAGATTGATATGCGTTATGCGTCTTTTTGAGACGCGTTATTGTACCTCGCTTCGCCATCTGTCGGCGAGTCGGTCATACTGAAGTGTCGCCTTGCCCCGCAGAGCGGCACGTACGGCTGGCTGGTGGACCTCATCAACTACTTCGGCTACCAGGGCGGGTTCGAGCAGGTCGAGCTGTGCTTCGAACGGCCGGAGCTGAGCCCCGCCGAGATGTCAGCACTGCTGGCGCCCCTTGGTATGTCGCGAGGAGATATAGCGGCAGCGTGAGGCCGGCTTGTTCGTAACCGTGAGAGCTGTCATTGCGGCTCTCTTCAAAGTCGGTCCCTACTAGGCCGCATATAGTGGTGGGTCGGGTCCAGGTTTGGCCTACGGGGGCCCTTTTGGTGGTCACAAAGGCTTCGCAAGCATGATTGCAGCCGTCAGGTGGTTATCTGCGCTCGATATTGCGTGCTCTCTAATAATTGGTCGTTAACAGTAGTGATGCGCTCCTGCCTATGATGGACCCTTTCTTTCTCTGCGATGTCCAAGATACCCACGCAGGGCAAAATCCGCTGTTCTTGTCTGCTACAATCAGTGCTGGTTATGCCACGCTGCGGCGAGCCACACAGCTCCCACCACCGTGCGCTGTCTGGCGTCGCACCGATCCTTCGAAGGGCGTGCGGCCAACGGCCGTGGTGTCGGCCGCGGGCCAATCCTGCGCCACTGGTGACCGGCGTGCGTGCGCGCAGGTCGGGGCGCGGAGTTGCTCGTGGCGGACCGCGTGAAGCCGCTGCTGTCGCCGGCGCTGGACCGTGCGCTCGCCTACCTCGTGTCGCTCGACGAGAACAAGCTGAACGGAAAAGTACGCTGCCGCTGCCTGCCTGTCAGGGCCGGTGACCGTCGGCGGGGAGGGAAGGGCAGGGACGGGACGCGGTGACTGCCGGAGGCTGGGTTTGTGATGGAGTTAGGTGGAGGTGCTGGGGGTGCGCCGGCACGCTGTGAAGGCAAACTGTGGTAGGACAGGGAGATCGTAGACTCGAGACTCGTTAGCGGCTCGATTTCAGACTCCCCAGTTGGTACGGGAAAGCAGTGCAAATGGGATCACACTAACGGCCGCGGGCCTGTCGCTAAATCCAAGCAGCGAGATTTATGCATCAATGATTGTGTGGCATACATGATCGCACGGTAATGGACGGAGAGGGGGGGGGGGGGGGGCGGTGGAAGTGTGGCCTGCAGGCCAGCTCCTCCGGGACCAGACCCGGTTCTGGAGCGAGGAGCACAACTGCTGTAATACTAGTGGATGAGGTGGTTTATTCCTGTTTCTGCAATAGACTGACATTGCACGATGTGCACTGTCGTCAACGCGCAATGCAGTGCTTCCACGACGTGCCACGGCGCAGGTTCGGTGTTGTTGCACACGCCAACACGATGTTTGCCCTGAACAGGACGCTCAGGCTGTGCTGGAGCTGCTCGTGACCTTAAAGCGCCTGTGCTGCCATCTGTGGACGGAAAACGAAAACAAGATTACAGAACTGCAGCTGAGCATCCTGGTTCGGATGCTGAAGACGCCCAACTTCTCCACCAGAATGAACGCCTTGCAGGTGAGCTGGCCTCCGTGCTGGGCACTGCTGCCAGGTCTGCCTCTCTGGTGAGAACTGCAAAAAAACCCTGTAAGTTGGCTTTATCCTGCCATCTTCTGGCATTCCAGTGACGATTTCAGTCCAGCCAATTTGGTTTTGATTGGCCCACTTCAGGCCATTTGATGTTATCATCCATATGGGGCGGTTGTGGTGTGAGTGAGTTCATCCAAGCATGTAGCGTTGTGATTTCCAAATCATCGTGATTAATATCACTGATACTCCTGGTATCCGACGTTGCACCGAAACCTATCACATTGTGTTTCATTGGTGTGCAATCCCATTGAAAGATGATAACATGTTCCATTGGGACCAGATTCTGCCCCCCCCCCCCCCCTCCCCCAACCGGACTCTGCTCCTAATGTTAGCGAATGTGAGGGACGTCCCCTGATCCCGTGTTCTGTCGCCGTTGCCCCAACTGCTGTCGTTTGCTCCACCCCGTCACGTCTCGTGGCGTTCGTTATGCATCACCCGACGCATCGCCGTCCTGTCCCGTCCTCGGGTCCTGTCTCCCAGTCCCGTCCCGTCCGGTATCGTCAGCTGTGCATCCCCGGACGTGCGCCGGGACTTCCGAGCGCTGACGCGGGATCCTCCGCATCAGGAGATCTCGCGGATCATTGAGGACACGCGCCGCGCCGCGCGCTACGTGCTGGACGCGGAGCAGATCCAAGCCTGGATGTCGGAGCAGGGTGTGTTGTCGCTGGCACTGGAAGGTGAGTCCTGCTGCGATCCTCCTCCTCCCCCCCCCCCCCCCCGCCCTCACCAACCCGCTACGAACTGACACCCAGTGACACATGATGCATGTTTGTGTTGTGCTAAACGAATGCTTATGTGTACTGGTTGTTGTGTTTAAGACATGATCTTGGAAGTTCGTGCTTTGTGCCCGAAGGACAGTAGGTTCCCTGATTAAGGGATGTCGTGGTGCGTGGCGTATGCTTGTTTTGTGTTTCCAGTCCCACGCCCCATCTGTGAGGCATGGTATGAATATTGCGTTTTCACAGCACCTAGTACCGAGGCAGATCCGTTTTTTTCACCACGCATTTCATTGCGGTGTGTTCCGTTTCCACCGGAATAAAAATTGTAAAAAAACAAACACTTCGAAGTCCTGGGTCACAAAAAGCTCTGCGTGTTGGGAATTATGTCACCCGGTAACTTCTTTCACAGCCAAGCAGGCTTCTGAAAGGCACAGTTCAATCACGATTGATTGGTTCTGTTGCAGGCAATATCGACCAGAAGCAGTACACGGACCGTATCAAGGCCATCATCGAGTTCCTCGGGCCGCACCTGTCCACGGAGGACCTGAGCAAGATCTGGTCCATGCAGAGCCGGCATGCCATTCAGGTACGCCGTCCTCGCGCCTCTCAGGCAGTCACTGGCGGCGGCGCCGCACCATCCGGTCACGGTACCAGGTGGACACGGAGGAGGTGGACTGGTCGGCTGCATGTCACGTCCTCCTCTCCAGGATTGGTAGCGTTCCTGTTTGCCTATTTTTTAGTGGTTAAAGCCCGCCGCATGCGGGATGTTATAGAACTTATGACTTGACTGTCGGGGGTGGGACAGCCTAAGACGCGAAAACTCGGGAAGATTATTGGTCTCACAACTGAAAGGTCTTAGATCTGTTAAAGTTTTACACGAAAAGCGCAACCAGCTGTTTTTGTTGCCGTCACTGAGGCCTTCTGTGTGATTTATCATCACCGCAGCGTTGCATCGTTCTGAAGCATGTGCAGGGCCTGAAATACTGTTGCTCTTTTGTATTATATGTGCAGCATACGCCAAGGTGCGGTGCACACTACCCACCACGTCTCTGTCCGAGTTACGGATGTGAGCCAGTGCCTCTGTACCCGGAGCAGTGCTGTGTGTCGGGCGCGCCGCGGCCACCAGCCTCAGCTTCGGACGCTTCTCTGACCGCCGCCGTGCTCCAGGTGATGGAGAACATCCACTGCATGATGGCGGCGGCGTCGGTCAGCTTCAGCGCGCCGCAGCTGCAGCACCTGATCAGCCTGATTGAGCGGGTGAGTCACGCCGTCCGCGTCAGGCGCCGGAGCCCCAGCTCTGACGCTCGCTGAGCTGTGGGTCCGTGTGGTGGACGGTCTTGTCTATTGTTCAGGCTGCAGACGGCGGCTGAGAGACGGACCGCGCAGTCGGAGCGTTTGTTGGTGTCGCTCAGAGCTGGCAGCGTTCAGGACGGCGTGGGCTGTAACTACCCCTCCGCCATCTGCTGGTCTTATCCACGCTCACGATCTGGGGCTGACGTGCAGCTGCGGTGCGGTTCCGAGTGCCCCACGGAGACGGGCATGGACAGCGGGCCTGCGTTCATGACGTAGGAGTCTGAACAAAACCCGTGCTCTTCTCTGACCCGACGGGACCGCCGGTGCGAGCCGATCGCGTGACTTGGCGCCGCGAGCCGGTCCGCGACGTCGGCACACTGGCGTGTCGGTGACGCGGCCACGGCCGCCTGTCCTCCGCAGAGCTGGGAGGGCGGCAAGCCGTGGCAGCAGGAGGGTCTGCTGCAGCTGGCCGGCAGGATCGGCCGGCAGCGCGCCGACCCGGCCTCGGCCGGCCGCATGCTCGAGCTGCTCTGGCGGCTGGCGCACGCGCCCCGGCTCGGCGGCCGGCTCGTCGACATGGCCATGGAGCTGCACACCGAGGTGCTGGCCGAGGGCTCCGGCGACGAGCAGGTACGTGTCGAGGCGAGTGGCAGGGCTGGGGGGGGGGGGGGGGGGGGGGGGGATAGGCGGGGGTGGCGGGCAGGTGTGTGCTTTTGTCTGCGGCCATGTGCTGGTCGGCAGACGGGGCCTGCGCTCAGAAATGCGGTGATTGGCGTTGCTTGCTGCTCTCATTTGGTAGTAGGGAGTGCTGGGAATACGTTCTCTGTGGTTCGGAGATCATGGAGATAGGCGGAGATGTGCTGGGAAGTGTTCAGGTTGTGGCGCTTTTTTATTTGTCGTTTCCATTCTTGGAGAATCGAGGGTGCTTGGAACTTAACTCACAGAATCAGTTTCATTTGCGTTAGATTATGTGAGCAAGGTGAGCAACTGCGCTTCCGTCAGCAGGGTCTGTGACCAAAAATGTGTTATGCTTGCTTGCTTATGCTTAATTTCTTATGCGTGCTTGGCATTGCACGGATCCTATTCGTTGGCAACATACGATTCATTCGGTATGGGATAGGAATGTCATCCAGTTCCTTGAAGCCTTGAAAGCTGCAAAGCAACACTGCGTGATTTGCTTTCCTCTATGCGACTGAAAATCCGTTGCATTTGTAACCCCTTATTGTTGCTCGCTGGGTTCTCGGTTCGTTGTGCGGTTGGGGCACCCAAACGATGGTCTGCACTGTCGTCCTCCAGGTGCGGCTGTACATCTCCAAGTGCGTGGAGGACATATCGAGCCACACGTGGACCGTGCCGGCCCTTCGCCACCTGCACAACATCATGGTGAAGATCATCCACGGCACCAAGAGCTACATAAAGATCGATAAGGTGGGCCAAACTCGAGTTGGATTTGCATTGTGCTCGCCTAGACCTTGAGAGTGAACTTGCCATGTCCAAGGTAGGACCGTAGCGTGTAAGCACGACATAAATTATGATGCTGTCGTGTTCGCTTTGTCACGCCTCCCCAGTTGGCCTCAGTAACTTCTGTGGTTGATCGCATTCTGTTCGAACCAGTTCACTTTCTGCCCGCACTAGCTCCCCGGACGACCCGAACATCCTTGGTATCCGTTTCGTGCGTTTCGACGGAACGCGAGTGCTGCTTCTGTCCCCGGGTGCTGCCCCGCGCCGCTGTCACCCCTGCCGCTGCTGCGCCTGCCCTCGCTCTCACCCTGCGGACGCTGCGTCCTCCACAGGCGGCGTTCAGTGACCTGATGTACGGTCAGCACGACATCCTGCGACTGATCACGCGCAGTCTAAGCGCCTGCCACCAGATGGCAGTGCGCGAGGCCGGCGGCGAGCTGCACCATGACGTATTCTACGATGGCGAGTACAAGCACGGCCAGGTGAGGCGGAACGCGGCTCGCGCCCGCAGATTGGTGTCAAAATCCGTGCTGGTGTCGGCGCACCGTGCATGTGGAGTAACATCAAATTACTTATTAAGAAAAAATACTGCTTCTTATATGGTGCAGTGCTTGTGAAATGTAAGACATTGCAAGTATTGAAGCGAATAAGGTGGTCTCTTTACAATAGTCATATGCGTAAAATTCGTTTAGAAGGTTGATTTTGGATGAGTTTTCGGTCACGGACCTTGCTTACAGAAGCGCGGCTGCTCACCTTGCTCACAATCTAACGCACACCAAGATTTGGATTCTGCGAGCAAGGTCCGTGACCGAAAATTCATCCAAACTGCATCTTACTTAACGAATGGCAGGTACATGAGTATTGTACGTTATCTTAATTCATTTAAAATCGCTGGTTTTTACTGGGTGAGTGATGCTGGACACGTAATCCGATGGTCTTGGCAAGAACACACCGGCCCGACCGACACGGAAAGGCATGGCAACTGGCGAAAGCTGGTCAATCCAGCTCTGAGTGGCCGTATGGCAACTCTGCCGGTGCGGGAACGTCCCGCGGTTTCGTCAGGGAAAAGCTGGAGGGAAAGGTTACCTGGTGAATTGTAGTCATATGTTCTAGGTACTGGATTTGGGGCGTGCACGTCAAGCTCTCCGTGCCCAGAGCCACTTTGTGAACTATTCCGGACGGATTCGTAGCAAAAACCCCGCCCCAAGAGTGCGAGTTTGATGCATTTTTTTTCGAAAACATGCTTGGACGCGCGGTCCCACTTCGTCGAGGCTCTTGTTACTTTGTCCGTGACCTTAGCAGCCGGGGCAGCTATGTGGGTTGCACGCGGCGGCGTGTCCCATACTGTACCCGCATCCGACGCGCCGGCTGCTGTGCGTGCCTGACGCTGCCCTGCGTCCACTAGTGCCTGTCGACGCACCTGGAGGTGCTGCAGTACCTGCTGAAGGACTCGCGCGTGCCGCTGGACTGGGAGCGCGTCACCGACGTCTGGGCGGCGCTGGTCGACAACGCCGACGCGTGCGCCGACGACCGCACGGTGCGTGGCGGGCCGGGAACGGGGACGGGACCGGGACCGGGACCTGGACCTGGACCTGGACCGGGACCTGGACCGGGACCTGGACCTGGACCTGGACCTGGACCTGGACCTGGACCTGGACCGAGACCGGAACCGGAACCGGGACTGGAACCGGAACCGGGACTGGGACCCGGACCCGGACCCGGACCCGGAAATGGACGGGACGGGACGGGACGGGACGTGGTCGTTAGATGGCTGTATTCACAAGGGCTCCAGACATGCCTGCGGTCAGGCAGTGGAGGCTTGCGTGCTTAGCCTGACAGACGAACTGAGAATTAAGACTCATGCTGACGTTCTGCCGCTGGCTGGAGGAGACCCCTAACACGTTCCGTCCGCTCCGTGAGCGTGAATGCGCCGCCGCCCCTCGGAAATGCGCCGCTGCCACTGCACGATGCTTTCTTCGTACAGACTTGCCTGAACTGGTTCACCGACTGCGTGTCCGAGCTGGGCCGGGAGCCGCAGCAGCGCTTCTTCACGGACAAGCTGCTGCGGCTGGACCCCGTCCAGCTGACGGCGGCCGGCCTGCGCTGCTTCAAGACCTACTTCGAGCGCGTCAACCTGGACAAGGGCGTGTCTCGCCGCGTAGCCGCCAACATCGTGAGTGACGCCGAGATGAGACGAGACGAGATGGGACATGCGTGAGGCTGTGGTCCGCGGCGGCGCCCCAGACTGCTGGCGGTGCAGTGTCGGGTGACGGGGACGGCTGGTGAGGGCCAGGGGCACGGCGGAACGGGGCTCGCGCGGCCGCGCCAGCGGTGGTGCTGGACTTGAGGGGTGGTCGATTAGTCTGAAATACGTTGGCACGTGTCCGGAAGGGATGTCCGGACCTGGGGATTGCCTGAGGGGCGCCGCTGCGGCCCGCAGTCGACACTGACGGGCACCCCGTGCGCTGCGCTGTTGGCCATGGGCAGCCTTCGGTCATGTGCCCGGCCGCTGTGATGATCCCTGCGCGCCGTAACCGGGGAACGGGCTGCCTTCCCGTCGATAGCGATGCGTCTGTTTGTGAGTTGATAACACGCCAAACTCAAAACCGGCACCGCCAGCGGTGCGCAGTCGGCGTCATCTGGTGCGGTCAAACTGGTGACGCCCTGCACCCCCGGACAGGTGTTCGGGAGCCAGGCGGCGGTGGGTGTGGACTACCTGTGGCGCATACTCACCGAGGTGGCCGACGAGGGGATCGCGCGCGCCGCCATAGACCAGCTGCTGGCCATCTATTACCTGAACCTGGAGCCGCGGCTGAAGCGGGATCCAGCCTCGCTACACAACAAGTTCTACAACGAGTGCTACAGCAGGCTGGAGGTGAGCTTGCGGTAGCGCTAGACTAAGGGAGGCAGAGGCGCTCGGCGATGGGATTCGGGCACTTGTGGAGGCAGGAGGGCTGTGCTCGATAAAATGGGAGCAGCCTGGAAAGGAGCGGAGCACGAGATCTGCATCCGTATTGGAACAGGGTACATTCGCCTTGCGTGGACCAATCTACAGGTATTACATATATGCATCCATACGTGAATGCCGCTGGAGTCGTAGCTTTCCACTAACCTGTGGCTTCGTGTGTCGCTCCGCAGGCGTGCCGGGCGGCGCTGTGCTCCGGCTCGGACGTGCAGATGGCGCCAGTGACGCCCGACTCGCCCGTCTCCTCGCCCAGCAAGGGCTCGAGTCGGCGCCACTCCAGCGAGACCTCGTCTAACGGGTCAGTACCGCCGCCGACTCTGGGAACCCCTCTCTCGGCCGTCAAGGCGTCCACGCTTAGCGAGTGTCTAGTTCGTGAGCGTGAACTGCCACCATCAGAACCGTCCGTGCGCATCTAGGCGCGGCGACAAGCGTGCTTCTGGAGATATTCAGAATGCTTGGTTGAGAGGGAACCAAACATGTGCAGCTCATGTTATTTCCTGCCTCGTTATTTCTCCGCGAATCCCTCCGTGACACGGAACGTCTCGTCGCCCGCGTGCGGCCCCATGCGGCCCGTCACCGCTGTACCCGGCGTCGGCTTCGTGTGCCGCCGCGTGACGCCCGCCTCCCCTCGCCAGGTGTCCGGAGCGGCGCGGCCTCAGCCGCCTGCTGAGCCTGGTGCAGGCGTACGTGGAGGTGATAGAGGGCCTGAACGCCGAGCCGCGCTCCATCCTGCCGCACGGCGCCACTTTCCGCGGCGCGCCGCTCACCGTCACGCTGGTGCACGACAGCACCGAGCTCACCGTCCAGGTGAGAACCGCCCGCCATCACGTGGGTCCGCGACAGCACCGAGCTCACCGTCCAGGTGAGAGCCGCTCGCCGTCACACTGCTGCACGACAGCACCGAGCTCACCGTCCAGGTGAGAACTTCTCACCGTCACGCTGGTGCACGACGGCACCGAGCTCACCGTCCAGGTGAGAGCGCCGCTGACCGTCACGCTAGTGCGCGACAGCACCGTGTTCACCGTCCAGGTGAGACTGCCGCCTCGCCGGCAAAGTCGTGCCCGATAACGCTGTATGCTCACCTGGCGCGGACATGTAGGCAAGACAGCTGATAGACCGCTAACATTGTCACGGAGCTAGAGGTGGGGAGATGACGACGCGATGCCTGTCTAGCAGTTGTGCCACTCTGCCCGAAACCGGACGTCAGACGCTCATTGGACCGTGCTGTCCGCCTGAGCCCGCCTGACGCGACCCTCTCGCGCCCGGCAGGCGCACACTAACGAGTCGGTGCAGTCGCTGAAGAGCCGGGCGGCGGCGCTGCTGAAGCTGTCGACGGCCAGCGTGCAGCTGCTGCTGAACGAGGCCGACCTGGACAAGCCGCACCAGCTGCTGCACCGAGCCGGCGTCACCGGCGCCGTCAAGCTCACCGTGCGCAGCGTCGGCTCGGCCACGGCCCGCAGTCGCGACGTCGAGGTGGGTGGGCTCGACCGGACGCCTCCGGCGCGCGGGAGGCCGGCTGTCTAGCGAAGGTGCTTGACTGGACCGGCTCGCCCCGGCTCGGCCTGCCCGGTCGACCTCGGCCTGACTTGAGACGGTTGTTCTGTATTTGCGAGTGTTGGAGATATTAGGCAAGCAAAAACGTGTCATACCTTGTTCTTTTCTGAGAAGGAGCAGAAGTAGAGTTATCAGTCTCAACAAGTCCCCAAAATTAAATAGCGTTGCCTTTTTGTTTTATCTCCAGGTGTCGCCCATGACATACAAGAACACGATATTGAAGGTACCACTAACTCGGTCTCGCCTCCCGTAGGGGCCTAGCTAAGACCAAAATAAGCATGCAAAACTTTGCCAAGTTGTATGCCGCGGCCTCTGCATACTAAGCGTGATAGCGATTCTTGAGTAGGTTCAATCCTGCTCACTGTTCCGCTACCTGACGCCCAACGGCGCCCCGGTTGTGGTCGCTGCCGAGGCTGGCCATGTCTGTCTACCTGACGCCGCGCACCGCCCTCAGACGAGCCCGGAGCCGGCGGCGGCGGCCGAGGGCGGCGCCGCGGCCGCCTCGGTGGCGGCCGGCGCCTGCTCGGACGTCAGCTCGGAGCGCTCGCTGCCCGGCGTGGTGATGGCGGCCGGCGGCGCGTTCGGCACGCTCTGTCGGCTGGCCGAGCTGCGCGACGCGACCATCACGGCCGGCGCGCGCGCCATCCTTCACCTGATGCCGACCGAGGCGGCCGTGTCGGACGCGCTGGAGACGCTCTGCGAGCCGGCCGACCGGCAGGCGGCGGCCGCCGTCCGGCCGGCCGAGCTGGTCCGACTGCTGCTCGGCGGCGGCGGCGGTGGCGGCGGACAGGCGCCCGCCGCCGGCCTGCGGCTGGTGTACAACCTGGAGGTGAGCGTGCGGCCCGCGGCGGCAGGGGAGCTGTAAGGGGGAGGGTGATGCGGGGAGCGGATGTTTGTCCCCGGTGACTGATCGGTACATCTTTGCCCGCGTTTTCCGATCTAACTTGCGGTTTCATGCGGATTAAACCGCCGGTTAGAAACCGTAGCTTATCAGACTCACACTGAATAAGAATGTTGGTCTGAGTTGAGGATGTGCGCGGGCTTCACTCCGTGCTTCGCAGACGTACTGCTGCCTGGTATGAACTAAATCGGTGTGCTGTTTGCCTCTGGACCAGTAGCGTCACTTCCCCTGTACCTGAGCGGATCGGCCGCTGTGCCAGCTTCCGCGCTGCCCTGGCACCGAACTGCAGCCGCTGCCCTGTGCCCGGCTGCTGCTGCCCGCACGGATTGACCCGGTCGCCGGCGCGCCTCGACAGGTGCTGTCCGGCAAGCTGATGCCGTGCCGGAGCGAGGGCGGCGCGGCCGAGGCGGCGCGCTCGTTCTGCCGCGCCTTCCTCGAGCAGGGCGGCCTCACCGAGCTGATCGCTGTGCTGCGGCGCGAGCCGCCCGCCGGCGACGACCAGTGGCTGGTGCAGCAGCACGTGTACCTGCTGACCCTGCAGATCGCCAGGTCAGAGGGGTCACCGGCGGGAGGGGGCGGATGGCCGCCGCTGGCGCGGACCTGCCTCGATGGACACGGCGCTGTGTCGTACGTGGGATCATTATGAACTGACTGGTCTCGTGGTGGTTATGGGGAGGTCATTTCCGTTGGGGTGGAAGTACACGGAGTGGAAGGATGGCCAGATTTCTTCATGATTAGGTATTCACCAAACGGCCACCAAGAAACCCGGCTGTCCTTCCTGACATGTGTGGGGTGCATGCACCTTGGCCTTCATGAAGGATCAGGGAAAGGATTTTGGTGGTAACCACAACCGATCGAGCCAGGGCTTTGTTTGGCTGTGAAGTAAGCTGTCGTCGCCGTCATAGTTCGCTCTGTTCAGAGCTCCGGCTGGGCGCCCGCCTGCAACCCTCCCTCATCCATTAGCGCGTACGCCGATCCGACTGAGACGGTAGTGCTGTGCTGGTGCTGTGTCGCCGCCCGCACTCTCGCCGGAACGAATCAGCCCGCCAGCGTTCGCCGCCAGCGCTCGCCGTCCGGCGGTGTTCGGCCGTGACCGGGCGCGTCGCCGCCGGCAGGTACCTGCTGTGTGACCGGCCCGACCTCAGCCCGGCCCAGCCGGCGGCCGGCTCCAAGCCGACGCCGGCCAAGAAGTCGGCGCTGGACGCGACGGCCGCCGTCTGCATCGACACCGTGCATGTGAGGGCCCGGCGGCGGCGCCGGCGGAGAATCTGCCCAGTTCCTCGACGCGGCCGATGTGTGCGCCCGTGGTAGATGTGGCAGCTTCCGAGGGCCGGGCGGACGCTCGGCGCTGTGGTATTATTTGTTGTAAGATGGTCTGCGGTAGACGCGGTGTTTGCTGTCTCCAAAGCTGGTCATGGTGGAGAAACCGGAACTGCACTATCGCCTTGTGGCAGTCATGTACTAGCGTTGCAGTGTCATGCGCTAATTGTAGTGGAAAACCGGAGACACCGGTCTCACCGCGTCTCCAGACCACCGCTCTGTCGCGGGCGTAGCGTTTCATCGGCAATGGCACGAGCGGGCTCCGCCGTGGCGTCGGGGCGCGTCCGTGACCGTGCGTGTCCGTGCCGCAGAGTCTGTCGGCGGGCGAGTTCAACGACACGGTGTCGTGCCTGCTGCGGCTGGCCTGGGCGGCGGCCGCCGGTCGGCTGGCGCAGGGCACGGCCGTGGCGGTGCGCGACAAACGCTCGCCGGTCGAGTTCTACCTGGACGAGCGGCGACGGCAGAGCAGCACCGGTGAGCGCGGACGGAGGGCAGCGGAGACGGAGGAGGGGCGCCGGTCAGCCATAGCAGGGAAGGCGTGCTGGCAGTGGACGGAGGGGGGGGGGGGGTTGGAAGAGGGGCTGCGGGGTGAAGGGCTGAGTGGGGAGGAGGAAGAGAGGGTGGCCAGGGACGAGTGATGGTCAAAGGGAACAGCGCAGGGACTGAGGTCAGTGCCTGGAACTGTGGATGATCCATCGCAAAACTCCGCTGGGAGGTGACTGTCCGAATGCGCCTGCGCTTGCGCTTGTGGTCATCCCTCTTCACTTTGATATGGCATGAATCCCAAAAAGACCGTATCGTGCTGTCGTTCGGCCGTGGCGGCAGCAGCCCGGCCCGCCTCTTGCCCTGGCTGATATGGTATTATTCCCAAGTAGACCATATGGCGTCGTTGCTTGGCCGTGGTGGCGGCAGCCCTGCCCGCCTCTCGCCCCGGCTGACGGCGCTCTGTGGCCGCCAGGCTCCACCACCAGCAGCGCCAGCGAGAGCGACAGCGGCGGCCTGCACGCGGGCCTGTGCGCCCGCCAGACGGAGCTGGCCGACAGTGACGCGCTGGTGGCCCGGCTGGCGCTCCAGCTGATGCTCGCCTGTCTGCAGAAGCGGCCCCAGGCGCTCGGTACGCACTGCCGGCGGGCGGCGCGACGCTCGGTCTCGGTCTGTCGCTCCCGCTGTGTTGAGTCGGTCGCTGTGCAGGGCTCTGCTGTGACTCGCTCCGCTGCTGTGGTTTCGTGGCCGCTGTTTGGCCTCGACCTGCTGTTGTGTTGTGCAGAAATCTTTCGTTTCTCTGTGAGCCTGCTCGAGCTGTGTGGCGACTCCTGCTGTCCAGGCTCCAGCTGGGACGTCTCGTTCCTCTGCGTTGACCTCGCCACCGTCTGCACTTGCCTCCGGCGTGCGGACTGCCGTACGCTGCCGTTGTCCGCCGTGCTGTGCAGACTCGCTCCCTCTCTCTGCTGACCCGCCGGCCGTCCGCGCGCAGGGTGCGTGTACGGCCTGTCGTACGTGCGCGAGTGTATCGTCGACATCCTGCTGGGCTCGCCGTCGGCGGACGTGCGCCAGGTGATGGCCGACCAGCTGCTGCTGCTCAGCCAGCTGACGGCGCCCGACGTGGCTCCGTCGCCGCGCGACTTCCTCACCCAGGTCAGTCCCCGGCGTCGCTCTGGCCGGTCGGCCCGCAGACGGCGGGTGGGGCTCACGCGAGCGGATCACGGGGAGGGAGACGGCTCGGCGGGCGGGTAGCACTCACTCAGCCAGTGTTTCACTGGCTCGCACCCACGCTCGCAGTCAAAAGTCACTGCGCTCCGAATTTCTCCGCGATGACTACTTGCGTCAGAGTTCCGAGGTCTTGTAGATATTCTGGGTGGTATTGCTTCATCTGTTTTTTTTTTGTATGCTTGCAATCGCCTAACATTTTGCCTGATGTTATGTGTGCAAAGTTGTAAAGATTGATGTCGCCTGTCCGTTATTTTGGGAGGTTGTTGTCGTTATTGGGGCGTTACGACGCCCTCAGCATCTGAGGCTTTATGGCGTCGCTTGCCTCTCATCCTGACGTGAAGAGCAGGAACCGCGTGGAATCGGACCCCGTACCTCCGGTTTCCCACATGTGCAGCTCAACCACTGCACTATCAATACTGCTATCGAAGCAGGGAGAGGGGTGAGGACCAGACGCAGCACACTCACTACGCAGGTGTGCGAGGTGCTCACACAATCTCCCATAGCCCATACTGAGTGCCTGTCGTTGCCGCCGAGGCTCGCCGCCCAGTGACCCCTGCCCAGCTGGGTGTACCACGCTGTCCCTGCTGAGCGTGCGGCACCACCCGCGTCGCCAGGTGGTGCTGAAGACGCGCGTGCCGCTCTGGGTTCCGTCCGGCTCGTCGCGGGCCGGCAGCCAGCGCCTGCTGCTGCAGTCGGCGCAGTACTTCGGCCTGCGCGCGCACCTGCTGACGGCGCTCACAGGTACGGCGGCGGCGGCGGCGCGGGGTCTCCAGACCACCGGTCTCCAGACCCGGCGGCATCGGGTCAGCTCCGGTAGAGGCCAAAGGTGTCGGAGCCGGGCATTGTGTGTGAACGGCGAGAGACATACCGGGGGGGGGGGGGAGGGGGGATTCGGTAGTCTGAGGCGCACCCGTGTGTGTGTGTGGAGGGGGGGGGGGGGGGGGCTGCACGGCTGGTGCGCGGGTCGGCTTCTGCTGACGGGACCTGTCGCAGTAGCCCGCAACCAGACCTGGCCCTCGGTCCCTGGAAAGGATCCGACCGTATAGTTTGTAACAGCTCGTAATGAAACTGGCCGCGTTGCGATCTGTCAGGACGGCTAGCCTGCAGCCGCTGACCGGACCCGCCTCTGGGAGAGCGGGGTCTGACGCCTGACGCGCAGGTAGTGACCGGACCCGCTTGTTATCGATGCCTGTCGTTAGCCTGACCTGCTCTGACCTGACCTGCCCTGACGCGTGACCCCCCAGCGGCCGACCAGGCCCGCCTGTCGGTGAGCGTGGTCTCGATGATCGAGGACGAGACGGGCTGGCTGCAGAACTTCAGCCCGGCGCCGGCGTACGACGGCGCGGCCGGCGCCGCCGACGACGTCCTCCTGGCCGGCCACCTGGACCTGGTGCGCGCGCTCGTCACCTGCCAGGGCGCCAGCCGGCCCGGCGTCGGTACGTCACCTGTCACGGCCGCTTGGGGACTGGGTGGAGCTGCACGGCGAGGGCGCGATGGGCGGTGGTCGCGTCGCGCAGTCGGTGGTTGCGGACTTGTGCCTTTGGAATATTCGTGTTTTGGAGGGGGGGGGGGGGTGGGGGGTGGGGGTGGAGAAATGTGCTAGTAAGGACTGCGGCGGCTACCTGATGTGAATAGCCATTAAAAGTGGTCGCTTTTGATCCTCTCACGCGTGTGTGTGTGAGTGCAGCAGCACGGGCTCTTGATTTCGGACTTGTCCGTGATTACGGATGCCCGTGTGGCCGGCTCGCCCGTCACCCGTCGGCGTCGCCGTCGCCGTGACCTGCTCCGGGCGGGCTCCAGGTCAGACGCTGATCAGCACGCTGCTGGACGACTTCCTGTTCCCGGCGTCGCGGCGGCAGGGCTCCGACTGCTCGCCGGTCTCGCTGCCCCGCTGCCAGGGCGCCTCCTCGCGCACGGCCGCTTACAGGTGGGACGGCACGCGGACGTAGGATACCGGCGGGGGCGTCGCGTCCGGGCCCTCTGCCATGTGTTGCAGGCAGACAGGAGCCCCGCTTACGTAGCAAATTGATAATGTTGCCAGATATGCACCAAAATGCGTCTGTTTAAGTTTTCCCTGGTGTCATCTGATTGTCAGCGTGACGCTCTTACTGGCCTCCTTTACCGATATTTGAAGGGCTTAACAAAAGCACGTACTCGTTGCATGGTGGAAAACTTGCATTTTGCTTGTCCCTTGCTCCAACGCCGCCCGCATGCAACGCCCGGGAATCACGAGGGTACTTAAAAAGATGCTGCACGATGTGCTTGTAAGGTCACCCACGTGCCTGAGCGCCATTGAGTGCGCGCATGGGGCAGCTTGGCCGTCTGCCAGGACGGCCCAGCGGCCATATCTGGAACGAAAAGGTGCCTATTTAAAGAACCTTTCTTTGAACGTGTCAAGCTTCTAAAGCCATCAAAGTGAGTTGAAAGGCGCGCCTTTGAGTACACATCGCTTGATACCATCTTCGCATTCTGGTGGATGATATAAAAGCAATTCTCTTCTGGCATCTTAGTGATTTTCACTTTTGGAACAGTTCTGTTCGTATCTGGGTAACCCTATATCTGCCTTTGCTAAACATATATGTGGACAGGATAGGGCAGCCTTTCCATAGCCCTTCAACCCGATTTGTGTACCTGACAGAATAGTGAAAAGCCAAAACAGTAATCACTTGCTGTGCGTGTTTTGCACGGGTGCAGTGTGGTGGCATTGTCGGCTGGCCTGCTCCGCTGCACCACGCTGGCGTCTGCTGCCTGTGCCTGGACTGTGGCACGTGACATTGTCCCGTGACGCTGGTTGTGTGTCGTGCGGCGCAGGCTGCTGGTGGAGCTGTGCCGCGACTGCCGGGAGAACCTGGAGCTCGTCTGCGACCAGCTGGTCAGCCGACACCACACGTTCGACGGGGAGCTCTCCAAGGAGTTCGAGGTGAGCGCTGTCGGCGGCTGTCGGTGGCTGTCGGCCCTGAATGGCGATCGGACATGTCGGGATGATGCGTTCCGTTCCGTCGACTCACGTGACAAAAGGGCTACGGACGGAGAGCGTGTCCAGGATTGATTTGGGCTGCATGTCGTGACTTCAGATATCAAAACGTAAGTCATAATCCTCTTAGCAACATAATGTACGTGGTTTGGTCCCCGTCATTTTCACCTGGTGTGAACGCATTGGACGGAAAGAGCAGGAGTCCTGTTCCGGCGACGCTACCTGTGACGTCACGGGTAGCTACCTCTGACAACTTGCAGCTTGCTTGCCAGTGACGGACGAGTCTGCGTTGAGCGACGCCACAGTGCGCCTGTCACCGCGGGCTCCCGCGCCCGAGCCGTGTCAGCCCCGCACACCAATACTGACCGCGCTCTGCCCGTCCGCCGCCGGCAGTACGCGCCGCCGCTGGACAGCCGGGCTGCCTGCAACTACGTGGGCCTCCGCAACGCCGGGGCCACCTGCTACATGAACTCGGTGCTGCAGCAGCTGTACATGGTGCCGGGCCTGCGCGAGGCCGTGCTGGGCGTGCAGGATGACCAGGTGACCGAGGACAGGTGAGCACGCCGCGGCCGGTCCGCCGCCGCCGCTCGCTACCGGAGCGACGGCCGAAAACGTCGGCTGGTACGCAGGCAGTCAGTGGTGAGGCACCGACCACCGTCTCAGCACGGCATCCTGTGGTGGCATGCGACTTGAATAGCAGCATGACTGGAGCGTGGGCGAGCGGTCTATGAGCGGTTTGGAGGCGGCCGTTCGAAGCTGGACTGTTCGCACGCCGCTCCGTCTCATGTGCCGCCCTCTTCATTATAGCGAGCTGTGTCAGCTGCAGATGGTGTTCGGCCACCTGCTGGAGCTGAAGCTGCAGTACTTCTCGCCGGAGCGCTTCTGGACCGTGTTCAAGCTGCGAGGACAGCCCATCAACGTCCGCGAACAGCAGGGTCAGTGTGCCGCACCCCACGGCCGGGGTCGTGCTGCACGTAAGAGCAGAGTTAGTCCGCGCAGGACAACAGCTCACCGTTCAGCTCACACCAAACAGCGGGTCTACTTTGCATCCATCGATAGCAGTCGTTCCGCTCCCAACGAGGCGGTCAGCCGACAGTGAGGAGTCGGCTATGTTCCTCGCCACCACGGGCCGCTCGGAGCTAGCTTCAGTGTATGGGGCGCTGGAACGCTAATCAGTTGTCAGTTGGACGCCGTCGTCGAAGCTGTCGTCGCCCGGACTTCTCCCGTCCTGTCCTAGTCTTGCGTCTAAATGAGTGACGTCACATTGAAAGGCCCAACCATTCTGAGCAGTATCCGCACCGCTTCGCCTAACGGCGGCGGGCCCGACCGGGTCCCCCGTGCCGGCCTTGTTCTTTGACCGTGCCCTGCTACCGCCGACAGACGCGTACGAGTTCTTCACCCATCTGCTGGACCAGGTGGACGAGCAATTGCGCCGCATCCAGCGCGAGCCCGTCTTCCAGCAGGTGTTCGAAGGCACCTTCTGCGACCAGAAGATCTGCCAGGACTGCCCGCACAGGTCTGGGCTGCGGTGCAGGCCGTGTGTTGAGGGGTGTGGGGGAAAGGGGCCGCCTGAGAGGAGGACTTGAGATCATGTGTGAGGATGCCAGGTCTGGGCTGCAGTGCAGGCCGTGCGTTGAGGGGTGTTGGGGAACGGGGCCGCCTGAGAGGAGGGCCGGGATCATGTGTGTGGATGCCAGCCGGTTTGGGTGGAGTGCAGATAAGGATTCGTGTCGCCTAATCAGAGGTAAAAGTTTTGCGGCTGGAGCATGGATAAGCACACGGCGGGTCAGTAAGTTACGCACCGCCAGGTCTTTGTTATGCTCGTCAGGTTTGGTTGATTTTGTCAGCCGTGTCGTTTTGGTGCTGCTTCCAGCAGCATTCCTGTCGTTTGATCACTCACTGAAGTGACCCAGTCATAGGCGGAACAGGGTTATTATTACGTGTCTTCCGCGGGTCAGGCGCCACCTGGGCCAGTGGAATGTGAGGGACTGTAATACTTCCAGCGCCGCCTGGATTTAAACACTCCGGGGGCTCTGAGCTCGGGGCTCGGAGCTCGGAGCTCGGAGCTCGGAGCTCGGAGCTCGGAGTTCGGGGCTCGGGGCTCGGGATTCGACCCCGGGCGTTCCGTGCCGCGACTCACCGGCGCGTGCCTGACGGAGCTGTGCGCCGGCGGCCGCAGGTACGAGCGCGAGGAAACGTTCAACGCGCTCAACCTGGCCGTCAAGTCGGGCTCGCTGCAGGAGTCGCTGCAGCAGTTCGTCCGCGAGGAGATCATGGACGGAGACAACTCCTACTTCTGCGACAAGTGCGGCAAGAAGGTACGTGGCGCCGGCGCGCGGTGCGGGCGTCGGGGACGCCGCGGCTCGTGTGGCTCTGGCGCGACTGGCGTGCTGCTCGGTCTTCCCATCGGCTAGGCGTTCGACGTCACGTTCAGTCCTGCGATGGCGGTGGAGACGCTGGTGTGCTCGGCGAGGAGGTCTGCAGAGCCGTCCGTCCTCTGCCGCTCACTCGCCGTCCCCTGCCGGCAGCGGGAGGCTGTGAAGCGGACGCTGATCAAGTCGCTGCCGCCGGTGCTAGTCATACAGCTGAAGCGGTTCGGTTACGACTGGCTGGCCGGGCACTCGATCAAGTTCGACGGCTTCTTCCAGGTCTGGTGGCGTCCAGTGCTCGCGCGCAAGGGATCAGTGTGGGCGCGTTGGGCGTGAGGAGGGGTGATTGGGCTCTCCGGTCATCGGGCATTGATGAACCTGAACCTGTTGATCGAATGTAACCGGAAGTTCATTCGAAAAGTTGAAGCCACAAAGTTGTCTCGTTGTGTCACCCAATTATTCTCCATACAAACTGAACACCTGTGCTGAGAAAATATTAGAATGGTGGTGCCTTCCGTAGCTGTGCGCTTGTTTTCTTTCCGACACCAGTACAGCACTCTCAAGTGGCGTCAAAAATAGTGTTATATGTACGGAATTGGATCTAACGCGCAGAAGTTTGTCGTCATTGTTGGACTCCGCAGGAAGTGTTGAACCTTCTCAACTGATGTTTGTGTGTGACCAAAACTTTGGTTTCGTTTCAAATATTCCTTTTAAAAGCTCGCAATATACCGCATGAGTGCGCGATTGCGTGTGATGACCGGTTGCAGTGTCGGTAGACGGTGATCCGATGCATCGCTAGGTCCACTGTCGATGTGGCACAGCCGCTGTCTTATTTGTGCACTCCGCACCGACGTGAGGCGTCGGAATGTCCAATGTCCTGTGTTTGGATGTCCGATGTCCGACCGGACAGCAGGCGTCAGCGAGAGAGCGGAGCGCGCCTGACCCTCCCCGCGCGCCGCAGTTCCCGTTCACGCTGGACATGGGGCCGTACACGGAGGAGGGCGTGACGGCGGCCCAGGCGCCGCCAGCGCCCCTGGCGGCCGGCGCCGGAGACGCGCTCCGCCAGCGTATCAGCCTGCAGACGCCGGTGCCGGTGCTGTACGAGCTGGTGGGCGTGGTGGTGCACAGCGGCCAGGCCAGCGCCGGACACTACTACAGCTACGTCAAGGATCGGAGGTGCGAGACTGGTCTGTCCGGCCTGGGAGACCGGTTCGGGAGGACATGACGTCGCCTTGCGGGTGGCCCGCCTGCGCCGAGCGTGTTCGATGTGGGCGTGCGAGCCAGAGCGGGCTGTGGTTGGACTGGACGTCAACTGGTCAAACTGGTGTATCCCTGAGCCTCAGTGGTTTGCTCAGCTGACGGATCGAGCGAGATCGAGTTTCGAGCCAGGCGCAACGTTGTTCATGTAAGAGAAGTTGCTTTATTGCCGTAAAAATCACATTTCTAGGCTGACTGAGTGGGCGGCTTGGCCACGACTAGAGACGATGGGTTTGAATGTGCCTGATGACCAGGGTTTCTCTGCTGCTGCGTCGGGTGTAATGAGGCCATGTGTCCTTCGCCAGAGGGTCGTCGCTGTCAAACCCCAACAAGGGCAACTGGTACAAGTTCAACGACACCACCATCGAGCCGGTCGACATGTCGGAGGAGTTCCTGGAGCAGGAGTGCTTCGGTGGCACCTACAAGGTCAAGGTCTCCGACACCGTCCAATCCAAGTGGGGTACGTACTCAGTCTCGTTCTCGGTGACCACATCACCCGTGTTTGCGATGGTTTATGGAATCTTTACGTGATGATGGCACTATGCGTGACGATTGTCTAAGTGGCCGGGGCTGATACGGCAGCGTTACGACAAAACGACACAGTGATCGTCGATGCGGCGGTCCGTGTGTCTGATATGACGCGACCAGTGCACCTGCTCGCCCTATGGTGAGACTGCTCTGGCGCGTTCATTTCCGGCGCTCATTGAGCACCGCGCCTCCGCGCTCGCCCCGTCGACGCCGGTCCGTCCGGCGTCGATGCCGACGGGCGGGTCGCGTCGACATCGACGGTCAACATCGCCGTGCCGACGCGTCGTTCCCGTAGCACCGACGGGTCCGTGCGGGGGTCGGGCCGTCCTGACGCGCCGCCGCCGTCCGACCGCGCAGGCCCGTCCGAGGCGCTGCCGGAGACTCGGCTACGCTACTGGAACGGCTACATGCTCTTCTACGAGCAGGTCAACGACCGGCTCAAGACGCCGCGCACGCCGCGCAAGAGCATGTCGGCCAGCCGCGTGTCGCACCGCCAGAGCAGGTCAGGGCAGGGCAGCGCAGGTGCGGGCTAGCCCAGGACGCGCGGAGGTCAGGCCAGACGGGATCCGGTTGTAGATGCCAAGCAAAGGCAGGCGCCACAAGGCACGGCAGGTGGGAAGGGTATCGTGCAATGTTAACATAGTTGCGTTTGTGCAGGGATTTAGAGAGCGGAGGAGGGAGAGAGGTGACTGTGCCAGAGTCACCGCTGCCGAACCCCGATACCGGTCACCGTTGTCTTGTCCGCTGCCCGTCACCGCTGTCTGTTACCACTGTCGTGTCCGTTGTGCCCTGCCGCCCGTCACCGCTGCCGGTCAGCTCTGACCTTCACCGCCGCCGCGCCCCGCTGACGGTCTGCTGTGGGCCGACAGCCGGTCCGTGAGCCGCCGGAACGAGGACAGCCTGTGCCAGCTGACGGAGCTGGTGCAGCAGGGCGACGCCAGCGACCTCTTCCCCGACCACATGCCGTCGGCCGTACACCAGGTCAGGGCAGGGGCGGGGTGGGGCAGAACAGGGCAGGGCAGGGCGGGGCGGAGCAGGGCAGGGATTGTCACTGTTGACGCGTCACTTGTAAACAGGTTCGGAGCCATAGTTTGAATACGCTCGGGCATGTTCGGCCTAACTCTTCGGCGTATTGAGTCCTCGGTAATCGTGGGCCAGTTGGAGATTTGCTGTGGCGTAGAGTGTGGATTTGTTATGGGGTAGCGATGCGTGGACGGTGCAGTTTTATTTATGTTGAGCTCCGCCTCTCAGGTTGTGCGGGACACGAACCTCAAGTTCATGCAGAACAGGGAGATCTATAGCGACGAGTACTTCAACTTCGTGTACGATCTCGTCAACTGCAACATGGTGAGTCGCGGGATGCTTTCTCAATATCGGTCGTGCTGTTTTGGTTCCCCAGCATGTCCCATCGCTCCACCATTCCTTTGACAAGTGGGCCTATGCGTGTTATTGTACATCTCAGTAGCCTGAGCCTCCTACCATTCGAACTCTACTGATTGCCGAGCTGTCGTGGTGTCGCTTTTCCCTTCCATAGTAGGGCCTGCTGTGTGTGGCACCATTGTGGGGAGACTGGGCGACATGCCCGCTCCAATTATGTGAGACCCCCCCCCCGCCAATGTTGCCTCCAGAATGCACGTTTTTTCTGTTTTCACGTGCAAATATAATTTTCAGGTCGGGCTGTCTTGTCCAGATTCCAGCTTGACACCCCTTCTTCAATCATGATGTGCCCTTCCCCCCCCCCCCCCTTTCTCCCACCCACTGTAAGAGTCATGGTAACACCCATGGGCCCTCCGGCCGCATTGCATAGAATGAGGACGCGTCCCTGACTTCCCGCTACCCGCTGTCCGCGCAGGTGTATGCGTATGTGTGTCTCGCCCCTGTTCGGGGCACTGGGGACCGGTGTCTCGGGTTGTACTCCATGCGACCATCTCCCTGTGTGCCCCATTTGACCGCCTTTGCTGCCGGACTGGAGACGGAAGCATGGAGGTTCGCCTCCGACCTGCTGCCCTGTATTACCGTCTCGCTCCGCCCAGAGGGGAGACCCGTTTGTAACGGTCTTCGGTACCGGACCGTCCGGCTCTCTCCAGGCGATTGGAGAGCTGGCTGCGTCTGTCGGACCGGTCTGGCCGTCAGCCTGCTCCTCGGGCTGCCCGGCTGCAGGCTGGGAGATCCGTCTGCGGCCGCCTCCGCCTGACCGCCCTGTCCTCCCTCCGTCCAGGGGAGCGGCGACGCCTCGCTGGCGGTGCCGTCCCTGCGGCTGGCGGTACACTTCCTGCTGCACACGTACCTGCGCGCGCGCCGCCGCCGCCCGGCCGAGACGCAGCGCTGGCTGGGCGCCGCGCGCCTGCTGGCCGACAGCCGGCCAGAGGCGGCCGCCTGGCTGCTGCACTACCTGGGCGGCGGCGACGGACAGCGCGACTTCAGGTGTGGCCGCGGAGCGGCGCTGGGAGCGCAGTGCGCTGATGCGGTGCACGGACGCGGTCCGTGCCCGTGGCGCGGTGCTGTTTGGCGGTGATGATGTGCCAGGGTACACCGTCGTCGCCCGTGTGTGTGGTTCTGTTACGTCGCCGGGACGGGCTTGGTGGGGCGCTGTTTGACCACCCAATCGTCGCGCTACAAACCGCCTCACCGTCTTCTGGACAGCCGTGGCTGGAAAACGGCACACTCCGTTTGGACACGTAGATATAGAGTCGGGCTGTTGATTGCCGGTGGGCTCGGTTTTCGGACGCCGGATATTTCGGTGGCCATAAGACGTCAGTCGACGCGTGATTTGCGCCGCTACGTCGCGTGTCTGGGTAGTTGCGCGGCGATTGGTGGCGGCAGGGACGTTCATGGCATGTTCACTCCAGGACAAACGTGCCTCACTGCATGGAGCGAGCGTTTGAGCGCAGCGGAATAGCCGCTCGGTGAGCATCTGTACGTGTCTGTGTGACCCTCGCGAATATGCCCATCTGAGCTGGCACCACTTGCCACAGTTCCCTGAGTATATGGGATTGGGTCTCGCTTCCCAACGTCATCGCCGTCGACCGTCGTTCTTGGAGGCCGCATGTAATCCGTGTCCTAGTCTGAGGTCGACAGCAGTGTATGACTGCAATGCCGCCCATGGTAGTCCAGTAAATTTCCTGGATGGAGTTTTCCCATACAACGACGACGACTCCATGACCACTCTCATGGCATGCACTCCCGCCATTATGTTCTTTGTAAGCATCACAGCGGTTACTGGCGGCCGTCTGAGTCGGTGTTCCCGGCGGCGCTCACGACGGCGCGTTGTCCGGTCACCAGCGGCCGTCACTACCGGCCGCTGGTGCCGGCCGCTGGTGACGGCCGGGGACCCGCCGCGCTGACACGGCTGTCGGCGACAGGCCGTTCCTGTTGGTGTGCGACAACGCGGCCGTGCGCTCCGACTTCACCCAGCTGATCCTGATCGGCGTGCGGGCGCACTTCCATCACGGCGGCACCACGGTGAGGCGCCGCCGCTCGCTCGAGTCCTAGTGTCACGATGTCGCACGTCCTTTTCAGCGGCTGGAAGGGATAAGTTAAACAGATGGTGACATGCGATGAATTTGCGTACCATGAATGCATGGATGTCATGTGTGAGAGTTCTGTGGGACGCTCAAACATGATCGTGGTTGGGCATTGCGAACAAAAGCGAGAAATTGCGCAGATATATGCCTGGTGCATCGGGGTGTTTCGCTCAGGCTGGCTTCTTATGAAAGCATGGTCTCGTCGCTGAAATGATTGCTCGTATGATAAGCTGCGTGAGTTTGGTCAAATGAGAATGAAATTAAAGTTGAAATAAGCATGTATGTCAAGAAGTGCGAATAAGCATGACATTATTGTTTATAGAACCAAAGTTTCATCTCAAGAAGTGGTGAAAAAGGACCAGAACTTTGCATCGGAACGCTTGAAGGTGTCGGCTGACAATGCCGCTCGGCTGGAACACCAGCTAGCAGGCGGCACGTTCCCCTGCCGGCTGGTGCGCTCGTGGCTCCGGTCCGCGCCATTGAGCGTCGCTGCCTTCTGCCGCAGGAGGACGAGGGCATCCGGACTCTGCTCGGCTCCCTAGTGGAAAAAGCACTTCCCCGACAGCATCCGCACGTGCTCCCAGTACTTCTCACTGCTCTCCGACTATGCCAGTCTGGTGAGTGCCCGCCGCCGCCGCAGCAAACGTGTGGACGTCCGGCGACGGCGTCTGTGGAACCCGCTGAACACAGCCGGTCTGGTCCAGCCTGCGTGTCTGCCAGGCGTTTCCGCTGTGTTTGGGTCGGATGTCGTTTCGCATTGGCGCCGTTTTCCTGCAAACGCTCGTCGCCAGAGCATGTCGCTGCTGCATCGAGCTGTCGCACAGAAGTCATTTGCTCATCTTTTCGGCGTCGTGAGAGGGCCGTGCTCGAAGCCATGGACTCGAGCCTGCCGGTGTGGGTGGCACGTCTAGTGCTACAGCCGGGCCTTCTGTCTGCTTGGGCCAGTCCAAGCTGGTGCGCCATGACCTCTGAGTTCCGACCGTGTTGTGGCAGTCGGTCAGTGTCGGTATAGTCGACCTTGTTCCACGTCACGGCGCGTTCGGCCGCCCGCAGGGCCCGGCCCAGTGCGACCACGTGCTGTCGCTGAACACGCTGCCGCGGCTGGTGTTGCTACTGCTGGGGCCGGTGGGCTCCTCGCCGCGCTGGACCGTCTCGCAGACCCGCCAGCTGGGCGACCTGCACACGCTGGCCGCCCAGCTGGTGCTCAGCTGTGTGCCGGCGGAGACCGACGCGCCCGAGGCGGTGGCGGCGGCGGCTGAGGCCGAGGACGAGGCCGCGCAGCCGGCGGCCGCGGAGTCGCCGCCGCCGCCGGCCGCCGCCGCCCGCCAGCTGCTGTACGGCGAGCGGGCCGACGACTACGTGCGCGAGGTGATCACGGCCCTGCGCGAGCCCAGCTGGCAGCCGGACCGGGTGGTGCGCATGCTGGTGCGAGCCAGCCGTGGCCAGCGTCAGTTCAGCATCCGGCTCACCACCGCGCTTATGGTACGTTATGACGTCAACACACGTCCAATTCACCAACCCGCTAGTGGTGTCTTCTGATGTTAGACGTCCCGCTCACCAACCCGCTAGTGGTGCGTGGCACGTGTTGTTTAGCTGTACACTGGTGCAGCAGGTGTGTGGTGCTGTGCTAGCCCGGCAGCTCCCTAACGCCCAGGTCGTCATGCTCAGAGCTCTGTGTGTGGCAGCAGCCGTGATCGGCATGTGCCCGTTGAAGTTCACTGGTGTGTGCTGCTGCCAACGGTGGACAACCGAAATATTTCAGTGGGCCGTCGGGCCCGAACCAGACCCCATCGGAGTCGTTAGCGAGGCGTCGTATTTCCGCGTGATTGAGAACCGTGCATGCCCGTGCGCTCTCCATCTTGCTCCCGACACGCCGTGGGGTGTCTGCTCTCCATGCTCTTCCTCCTCGCCCGCCCTCTGCCCTCTTTTTCTGGCACTGATTCGCTGCGCGCTGTCCATTCGGTCCTCATCCCGCGGCTCTGACTTCGTTATCTTATGAGTTATCTGCCTTTCCGTCCCCGGCCATGACTCTCCGTGCTTGTCAGCCCTCTGCCTTGGTGCAGCCAACTTTGCTCCCCACCTGGCCCTGGCCCAGACCCGCCGTGATCGGTCGGCCACCTGCCGTCCCGTCCCCGGCTGTCACCCGTCGTGTTACGTCTTGGTCGCGCTCGTCTGGCGCCGGGCCTGACCCGTCGCGCGCCGCCCGCCAGCGGAGCTTCGGCTCCATCCCGTGCAACGAGCTGCGCCACCTGAGCCAGACGCTGGCCGAGCTGGTGGCGCTGGAGGACTCGTGCCAGACGGAGCGGCTCGACATCATCCTGGACGGCGTGCCCGGGGAGGGCGCCGACGCCGTCGAGGGCATGCTCGGTACGCTGGTGTCGGAGGAGCGCTCCGGCTGCCGGAGTGGCGGTGTGGCTCAGTTTGGCAGGTGTAGCGCGGGAAGGGCCGGCTGGTGTACAGTCACAGCAAAAATAAAGTCCCTTCGCGCTCCAGTGCGCCTTGTTTGTCAGAGGTCAGTCCTGAAACCTTAGACTGTAACGCAGCACAAAGATGCTGTGCGGAATAGTCCTGATCCAGGCACAAGCCCTCGGCAGCCACCAGGTGCGAGGGGTGGTTATCGTTAACCGGCCCATTCGTTCCATGACGTAATAGTGAAACTCGACCGGAATCTAAGCAATCAGAAGAGGCGGCTGTGCTGTCGTTTCTGCCGTATGTCAGGCAAGTGGGTGGCACTCATCCATTGAATTCATCATCTTTTTCAATGTCCTAAACCTTTTGGTTGGATAAATTTGTGGGATCAACGCCCACGCTGAGTGGTGCTTGTTGCGTGAGTACTTTCACCATCATTCGATCGCGCACCTCCCTGATCAACGGTGAAATTTTACGGCGACAGCTCAGCTTAAGCGTACAGCAGCGTGTGGCACCCCCCGTCCTCCCCGAGGGCCAGACCCTATGACGTCAACTGACCCATACTGCACCCGCTGCCACCGGCCACGTTCCACGCCATGCCAGTCATGGCAAATAATAAGCGCGTTAAGCGACTCGAACCCTCCCCGCCACCAGCAAGTGAGCCGGATTGCAGGCGCCCTAACCAACTGAGCTACTAGAACGAACCGCGGAGTGGGAGAAAAATGTCGGTTGTTATTTTTGTGGTCATGCTTCCGCATGTGGGGAAAAAACATAAGCACCTTCAGAATGACAAAACGACAGAACAAGAAAGCATAACAAAACCAGGTGACCCATTTGTGTGTTGAGATTGTGTCGGACTTTCTTGTGGAAGAATGGCTAGACCAGTCTTCAAATCTTTGTATGTGTTGTTTTCTAATTTGGTAGCATTGAAATGCTATTAACACGGCTAGACGTGGAATTTAGTTGGCTAGAACCAAATTTCAGATGCATCTCACGTCTAAGCCTCCTGAGTACGCCAGTGATGCTCTATGTTTTCAATTTAGGCCGCCTGTTTCTGTCCAAGGCGTCGCACCTCGCCAAAATGTTTCCAATGTATTTTCAAAAAATTGCATCGTGGCGGTCTAATCGTATTTTCCAACTTCCCCAACTTTTCTTTTCCTCAAGGGTCTTGCCCCCAGTTTAGGACGTGCCAAGCGTAGCGGTACGTTAAGCTTCCACCTTAAAATTCCGCCAGGAGTTGCCAGATCGAATGGCGGTGTCATGGCCCACGTAACGGCACCACTTAGCGTGGGCGCTGATCCCAGGAATTTGTCCAGTCAAAAGGTGAGAACAAATACGCTAAAAGAACTGAAATGCCGCAGCGATTCCTTGGTTTTTATTTTGTACGTATTGCCGAATTAAGGTCAAATGACGATGTATGCGCCACCCGCGTGCCTGACAGGTGACAGAATGGAGCGCACAGCAACCTCTCCGCCTCGCTTCGATGCCGGTCGAGTTTCACTATTGCGTCATGGAGTGAAGGGGCCGGTTATCAATGATTCCATCCCTCTGGCCTGTCGGCTGCCGAGGGCTTGCGCCTGGATCAGGACTGTTCTGGATAGAGCAGCTTTGTGATGCGTCACAGTCTAAGGTTTCAGGACTGACCTCTGAGGAATTAAGCGCGCTGGAGCGTCAAGTGATTTTATGTTCGCTGTTATCGTACCGGTCAAGATCTGTTGAAAAGTTTGCGATGTATGTGAGTGCTATTGTGCTTAGTTGCAGCTGGAGATTACGACGTCCTAGGCGGAAAGTCTGAATATGTAGACACATCGAGTAGGGGGTCAATAAATTGTCGGTTAGGTCTTTGCTTAAGATAAGAAGAGGCTGTATAATTACGTTGCTGACGGATGCAGTGGAGAGCTGGACCACTTTGAGTATGGCACATTTTGAAAACGCGACTCCTAATTATGACTGCTGTGCTGCTGTAACAACTTCCCTGTCGTGGGCGTATAACGCCTCATCAGCGGATTACCCTTCGGTTACATCGAATCACACCCAGTAGTACACCACCAGTACACCCCCAGTAGGCTCTCCCACAGGGTAAGCCACGCGCGTCGCCAGGTGTGCCTGTGCCTGGCTCATCAGCAGCTGTCCCGCCGCCGGCCGCCGCTCTGATCCCCTCCCCCGCCGCTCGCCACCCGCTCTGACCCCTCCCCCTCGCGTGACGCCCTCAGGCATGATCCGGCTGACGAGCGGCGCCAACTCGCGGCGCGCCTACCAGTGCATCAAGTTCCTGGTGGCAGTGGCGGCGCGCGCCGACGCTCTGAAGCGGCGCCTGCTCTCGGCCACGCAGCGCTGGCTCTGGGCCATCAGCTGGCTGCGGGAGCAGATGTCGCAGCAGGCCGGCGGCTGGGAGCCGCCCGAGCAGTCGGCCGTCGACGCCACCAGCAACGACGACTCGTCCGGACGCATGTTCCGGCGCACCACCAGCGCCCAGGTGAGGAGGCGCGCGGAGCTGGGAGGGGTGCGGAGGGAGAACTGGGGCTGGGGTTGGGAGGGGTGCGGAGCGAGAGTTGAGGGTGGGGCTTGGGGGAGTTGCTAATGGAGAGTTGAGTGCGAGGCTGGAGGGGTGCAGAGGAGAGCTGAAAGCGAGGCTGTAAGGGTGCGGGGTAGCCGAAGCGGGCGCTGGTGAGCCGTGACGAGGGACTGAGTCAGCACGGAGTAGGGATGGGGACGGGCCACTGGCGGAGCTGAGGGCTGGTTCCTGGGGGTGGGGGAGCAAAGCTGTCCGCTGGTGGAGACTACCCACTAATGGCTCAGCGTGAGGACAGGGGGAAGGTGACGACCAGAAATCCCTGTTTAAACACTTGACGTGTTGTGCGAGGCCGAGGTATCGATTTTGGAATCTATGTGGTGTGGACTATCGTACCCCTGCAAAAAGATCCGTTAATTGCAACGCGCGTAAAGAGTTGGTTGTAATGGCTGATGCACAGCACTAAAATCTGCACAAGTGTCAACTGCGCATGGTTATTATCTCAACTTCCCATGCCATTATGCACCCCTCTTTGTTGTCATGGGTGTGCGAGATCTAACACCACACTTGTTCGTTTCCCATCGCCAGATGACTCTGGACGAGTGCTCCCGGCTGTTCACCGTCGAAGACGCGGAGATGGATGTGGCATCTGGCGGCTGGGAGCCCAACTAGAGCTGCGGCGTCGCTCCAAGGGAGGACGCCAATGTGGACCGGGCCGCCCAGCCCGCCTACGCGCCACTGGGGCTGCGGCAGCCCCTGTCGGTCGCGATGATACGTGTATGCTCGCAACGTGTGCCTTGCTGCTCGGGTTATTGTGCGCTGGACAACACTGCCCCGTGAAGACTGCCCCGGCGCGGCAGGCGTTCCGCGCCGTCGCCCCTGGCTCGATGAGGCGGACCCGGCCCGCGGCGCCCCGACACAGTCTCCTGAGGCCGGATGGGCCACGCCTCGCGGCGCTGCTGGCCGCCGGACGGCGGACTCGCCGCGTACATATCAGCCGCTCGAGTCGGCCGCGGGCGGGGGGGTGGGGGCACCGGACAATCGCGTCCGCCGGCCGCTGGGCCCGCTCCGGACCGGACCGGAGCCGGCCGGCAGGGCTGAGCTGCGGCCGCGGCTGCGTCGGTTCCAGGCGCTCGCCGGGACCGCCGGCCGCCGCGCCGTGTTCTCTCGCCGGCTGGCAGCGGCCGACGAGGAGCGGCCGCGGGGGACGGTGGCTTGCGATGTGGGCGGGTGGGCGCCCGGCGGCGCGGCCGGCTCGCTGGGCCCAGTTTTAGCGGTCCGCCGCCGCATCCCGCGCCGGGGAGCGTTGGGGCCCGGACGTTTTTACAAACGGAGGTACAATCCCGGTGCCATGTTTTGAAGATGGTGATCGTGTTTGTTGTTGCGCGGCTTGTGATCAGTCCTGGGCACCCGACATAGTTTGGACTGCGAAATTCTCTCGCACTGTTGGTGGCTTTTTGCCTGATATGCGAACAGACATTTTGTGCAGATTATTAACAATACATTGTTACGTTTACGGAAGGCACCTGTTAGCTTTGTAATCCTGCTGTTGTGATGCCGCAGCTTTTTGGTTTTGATGATGCATTTTTAATGATTTTGATGATATTGGATGCCGAGCGGAAGCTGGCCGCGCTTTGCCAGCAGTTTCACGATATCACGCGTAACACGAAGCAGGGTACTTAAATATTTTAAAAGAAATTCAGCCATCCGAGGTCAGTTTTCATCGTTGTTAATGCCAGTAGATTCGATGTGTAGTCCCTTTCAGAACAGTTCAGACGAACAAGCCGGCAAAAGTCGTGAGTCACCACCGTTTCGTCGGGCACACGGATTCCCTTTTTGGCTCCGTATGAGTAAATCCACCAGATAGTGTTGTTTTCCCTGTCTACCCTACTTGTTATTCAAGCAGCAGAAAAATAGCTGAAATACAGGACAAATTTGACGACAGTACTAGATAATAGCGAATAAAAGAGGAGGGGGCTGCTGTTTTGGGGCTGACTGATCTGTGAAATCCAGATCGTCTTTATGACCGATTAGCCTTTGCTATTTTTTTCTGCCTGTTGATCCTGTTTATAATGTCCAGTGTTTTGCCAGTCTTGGTAAACTTGTCTTTGCGCTTTGTCGCACTTGCGTTTTCCAGTATCCGCACCTTGCCAAGCTATGACAAGTCTCTCTTGCGAAAGAGAAAATGGTGCCATGAGTGTGGGACAGTGTGCAGGTCTAACGATCTAGTTTTTTAGCGATGTACAACAGTAAAGGTGAGCCCCTTGCGCTACTTGTGGAAAACCTTTGTCCTCCTCACACGCATTCACAGACATTCGCATCAGCTCTGAAAAGTCCCTCGCCCACACGTGGAAGGGACAAATACAATTGTTCCAACAAAGTCACGCAAAAAATCCGGCGCCACTCTCCACCAGAAGCCTCCGTCAAGTGGAGCGCCATTGTCCTCTGCCGAGTATCGAGCGCGCTTCTAAGAAGCCTCTGTGGGGTCCGCCGCCTCGCCGCCGCCGCCGCCGCCGCCGCCTCCGCTCCAGTCGCACAGGGCCTGCACAGCCTGGCCGCGAGGCCGCAGACGGCAGGCGAGCAGGCCGCTTATGACACCGGATGACCCCGGAGTCGCACAGGTGACGCCGTGTGCCCAACACGTGCTGCCGGCGTCGTTGTCAATAGACTGCTCCCCCCGCCGCAGCGGGGGTAAGCCCGACTGTCGGAGCGGTCTGTCGGGGCCGGCGAATGGGGCGTGCGGATGCCCTGCGAGCGACTGGAGAGCGTTAGGTCCGCGAGCTGGCGTGACTCGAGTCAGCCGGTCGCTGGACTTCATCGAGAGTGGAAGTCTTGCTGTGGGCGAATAAAATACAGGCCAGAAAGGCAGCGAAACTTGGGGCGTGGGAAATACCGCCAGAACTTAACCACGCCTCAAGCTCTTGCTGGCAGTTTAATGGCTTAAACAGATAAACAGGAATCTTAATGGATACGCATGATTGTTTTAATCGTTGTAAACCCTCGCATACAGTGAAAAAAAACTGCGCACGCAGCATATTGCCGCCTTCTCAATAGTGATCTTGCCGTGGCGCCGGCGTTGAATGGATAAGATCTCGGAGATATGAGGCCAAATGTTGGGCAGACAAGCTCCGAAAGGATGTCGGGCTACGTGCTCAAAAGACGAGCTTGAAAGAGAAAGTTATTGCTCACTTGCCCACTTTTGGGCCGTAGCCACGTTGCCCCCCCCCCCCCCCCCCCCGCCGCGGCGTAGGGTCAGTCAGCGGCGTTTGGAGACCAAAGATAGTTATCACGTGGTGTGGAGCCAAACGCGGTACACTAGTGGAAGGGAACCAACACTCGTCCGCGACCGAGGACCAAACGCAGCGTGCTCGTCGCCAGGGGCCGCCTGTCCCATGGCAGCCAGGAAGCCAAACGAAGCCTGCTCTGGGCTCAGGATCAAACCTCCACCCGTGGCGAAGAACCATACCCAGCCCATGTGTAGTCAGGGACCAGACTCAGTACTCCTCTGGTCGAGGACCAAACAGCTCACCTGCGCTCGGGGATTAATGGCAATCTGCTCGTCGTCGGAGGCCAGACCCGGTCCTCCCGTCGTCGGGGATCAAACTCAGCCTGCCCGGGGTCGTGGACCAAGCACCGTCCTACATGGTCGGGGACCAAGTGCAGTCCGCTCATGGTCGGAGACTTAAGCAGTCCTCCCGTGGTCGGGGACCAAACACCGTCCTCCATGGTCGGGGACCAAGTGCAGTCCGCTCATGGTCGGAGACTATAGCAGTCCTCCCGTGGTCGGGGGTCAAACACCGTCCTCCATGGTCGGGGACCAAACGCCGTCGTATGGTCGGGGACCGAGTGCGATCCGTTCGCGGTCGGAGATTAAAGCAGTCCTCCTGTGGTCGGGGACCAAGTGCAGTTCGCTCGTGGTCGGGGACTACAGCAGTCCGTTCGTGGTCGGGTCCAAACCTGTTCCACCCGTCACCCGAGGACCAAACACAGTCCACATTACGACCGCGGGCGACGGCGCGCCGACCTCGACCGTAATGGCCGGCGGCGATTTTCATCAGGCAAGACAGAGCCGGCTGTCAGCGGGCCCGATGGGGTCGGGTCACGGCAGCACGCGCGCCGGCGGGGCCGGGCAGGGGCGCCGGTCGCTGACGCTGCGCCGCCCCGGCCACCGACCCTGGTCCCGTCGTGCGTCGTGTGCATGACGGTTACGGTGAATACATGCAAAACGGCGGATCGTGCACGGCTGTGATTCACGCGATGAAGGTAGGGAACGTAAGAGGCGAGCATAAGCAGATCCTCGAGGCGTGTATAGTTGGATTTAAAGCCATGACACCGGGGCACTATGACAGCTCGAACAATTGGTATCGTCATGCACATTGCACGCTGGGTGTCATTAGCACATTATACAGCGCTTAATACCTAGCGTTTCGCTATTAAGATGTAAATGAATGTTAATCACAAGGGATGGAAACTGAAAGTAGATAGAATGCAGGATCATGATAGCCATGTATAAACCGGTACTTTGCCACAAATGCCCGCGTCATTTCTACGAACATAAATGACGCAGTTTAAAAGCCGGAAAGTGGTGGGTGTCCTGGTGACACGTACGCCAAGCCTCTTCAAAAAAATATTCGGCGAAAGGCGCGATCACGTTTTTTACCGAAAGTTTCCTTATGAAATCTAACAAGATCAGGAGGAAATCACCTGGAACCATGCCACCACAGTCCGTCTTAAGCTGCGGGCTGAGATCGGGCGTCGCCGTCTGCACGTGCCGCCGCTAATCTCGCGGCGCCACCGGCGTGCCCACCGCGGCCGCCACATGTCGCTGCCCGCGGCGTGTCGGGCGCACTTGTCGCGCGAACGCGCCATTTGTCGCCGCGGGGCGCGCGCGCCGCCGAATCTGGCCGGCGCGCGGTAAACAGCTGGCCACAGTCCGCTAAGCTGTCAAGATGGCGCCAACCCGTCGGCGGCGACGGCGGAGGGATGCAGAGGCGCGCTCAGGACAGGCCAAGGGATCCGGAGGCGCTCTCAGGACGGGTGGAGGTGTGCAGAGGCGCGCTCAGAACAGGCGGAAGGATGCAGAGGCGCGTTCAGGACAGGCCAAGGGATCCGGAGGCGCTCTCAGGACGGGTGGAGGTGTGCAGAGGCGTGCTCAGAACAGGTGGAGGGATGCAGAGGCGCGCTCAGGACAGGCGGAGGGATGCATAGGCGCCTTCAGGACAGGCCAAAGGATGTAGAAGCGCGCTCAGGACAGGCGGAGCGATCCAGATGCGCGCTCAGGACAGACGGAGATGCAGAGGCGCGCTCAGGACAGGCGGGGGACGCGGAGACGCGTCCAGGACAGGCGGAGGGATGCATAGGCGCGTTCAGGACAGGCGGGGGATGCAGAGGCGCGCTCAGGACAGGCGGGGGATGCAGAGGCGCGCTCAGGACAGGCGGAGGGATGCATAGGCGAGCTCAGGACAGGCAGAGGGATCCAGAGGCGCGCTCAGGAGGGGCGAAGGGATGCGGAGGCGCGCTCAGGACAGGCGGGTAGCGACGCGTCCTACGGCACCAGCGTACGTGATGCTTGGGTCGGTAGGGTGCAACTGTTATTAAATACGCACAAATAAAAAATTACATCAGTTTTACCCCAGACTTCGTTGGGACCTGGATTGCGCAAATCCGGTTGGTCCCGCCCTCTACGGCAGCGGTTCAGTCGTCGGCGGGGAGGTGGCTGGTCCTAAGTTGGTGGTTCTTATCGGACATTGCAGGGTGACGTGAGCAGCTATGTTTTACAACCGAATGAACCCACTTAGCTCACCAATCAGATGGCAGATCGCAACACCTAATGTTGAATGTTTAATAACAACAGAAGTAAATGTACAAGGTGTTACAGGTAGCAAATTATGTGTCATAGCGATAATAGCCGTCTGTGTTATACGTGCCTCTGTGCTAGCAACAGCAGCTCCTATAGAGGAGGATCATCATCAGATAGTAAGGTATTCGCAGCATCAGTATCAGAAGTC